AGCCCAGCTCACTTTCTCCATCCCTTGTCCTCTTCCACATAAGGCTCGCTAGATAGGAATTCTGCTGAGCATGTACAGAACAGAGCTTACAATCTCAATAGCCTAAAATATTAAAGAATACTACATAAAAAGCCCCAATGAGTACCTTATGTTACTAGTTTGGTGTATCACATATTAAATTTTCCCCTTGACTTAACACAACAAACTGTTACTTGAAAGATGCCATACAAATGAAAGAATCATCCATTAAAATATATGGAGTGGAAAAAATGATATTTTTTTGGCAAACTAGAGAATGCCAGTTTTCAAACTTATACAGATAAAGTATAATCATTTTTAACCCTTTCTACCACAAGATTTGCACGAAGCAACCTCTCTGATGCCAAGTTTTAGATTCAGCTGTTTCCAAGGATGATTTGTAGAAAGTAGCCCCTGTACTTCAATGTCTGTACAATTAATCTCAACTCATATTTGAATACGCCACTCAGCAGATGTGCAGGGAGACTCATCCTCCCTCCCCCTGCCTGGATTGGCCAGCCAAGTGGGAAGAGAGCAGCGCTCAGCGAATGACTGGAAAGATAGGCGGGGCTACCACCACAGTAGGACACGTGAGTGGACAGTCCAGCCCCAGGAGCCAGATCTTCATTAGGTCCACCTGCGTGGGGGTCTTTGTATTTGTATACAAATGCCTTCATCACTAATCTCAACCATCTTTAGCATACAGTCATGACTGTGGGCCTCCAATATCTCACAGTCTAAATAAAGAAAAGATAACACACTCAATATGTAAATTACTGCATCATTTTATGGGCCTGCTTTCCTACCCGACTGCTGAACTATCTTGTTTGCTTCCATCACACAGGTGATAAATATGCAATATACAGTGGTGCCTCGCATAGCGAGGTTAATCCGTTCCGGATTAACCTTCGCTATGCGAAAACATCGCTAAACGGGTATTAAAAAGCCATAGAAACGCATTGAACTTTGTTCAATGCGTTCCTATGGCTTGAAAACTCACCGTTAAGCGATGTTTCTCCATAGCGCCGCCGTTTTCGCGCCCTCGGTAAGGGCGCGAGGGCATGGCGCGAAAATGCGGCGTGGACCTTCCGGTGGCCATTTTGGAACCGCCGATCAGGTGTTCTCCCCCGCTTCGTTCTGCGAAGATCACTAAGCGAATCGCTTAGCGATCATCGCAAAGCGAAAAATCGCCATAGGGGCCATCACTGAGCGAACGCTCCAGCGATGGCCCGGACCCCCTCACTATGCGATGAATTCACATAGTGAAGCACTCGCTAAGCGAGGCACCACTGTACTAGTTTAAGAAGAGTCTGTAACAAGTAGTAATTAGGAAATCACATAAATGGACCTATTAATCTATTTTGGTGTTTGGCAGAGTAACAGTGAGAAGGGAAAATTTTTGCAACTAATCAGTCTTTTTTACCTATTTTGCTATAGAAAATTCTCACCCACCTGCATAGATGAGAGAAGACTGAAAATGTATGTTATAATCTATATATCTGTCATACAAAATAATTCATCATATGCAGGACTATTCACAAAAAGTACCTACCGTAATTCAATTTAAGACATCTGTCAAAGTCAATACATCTAACAAATCAGAACACCAACTATTATTGCCAACATTTCATTATTACATTTAATTTAGTGATAGAAATTTCTGGACATATATTACAGAGCTGCTAAAGACATTTTAAAAATGAGTAGTCGCTAATAATATTAAATCATGAACTCATTATATTGTGGGAAAATAAGGCTGCTGTTGCAAAGGCAACAAGAATAAGTTACTGATTTTCTCTGAACAAGATAAATCATTCTGATGCACTTTGAAGAGTTTTTAACACAGCCTTGGAAATGGACAACAAGCATACTGTCACTGTATTAGGAAATCAGTGAACCAGCATCGCTCAGCGGAGTACTTGACTAAAGACATGAAGTGTTATCTATATCACACTGTTTACAGCAGTAGTAATTATCACGGCCACATCCTACAGAACTCTGGGACTTGTAGTGTAGGGAGGCACTGAAAATTCTCAGCGAAAGAGATGCAATGTCTTTCCCTAAACAACAGCACTAGAGCTCTCTATAACAATCTAAGGACCTCATCAAACCAAAAATCCCAGTCTTCCATGGGCTGGAGCCAATGCATTTAAAATGGCATGAAACTGGTGTAGCTGTATGGTGCAGATCCCTAGTTTCAAATTGTTGCCAAACCACAGACTCACTGACTGTATTGTTAACAAATTATGCTATCCAGGTGCTAATATTAACGAATCTTATAAGCTTTGTTTTATAATTAATGGGCACAGAGTCTGGGACACGTTTACCTGCTGTGCCCGCAACCCTCAGTCAGCTCAGCTGTGTAGAGAGTTGCATCTTTTGGCTGTTAATAGATAATTAGAGAGCCCTGTAAGCTATATCTGTCTTATTACAGTAATGCCACTGTCCCTACCCCAACACCAGCGGCTTGATTAATGGAGCAATGTGTGGAGGGACGAACCAAAGCGGAAGCCTCACAGCAGGACAGGAAAGGAACAAAACAGAAGAACCAGAGCCACTTCATTTTCCTAATTGCAGCTATTTCCTCCTGCTCCATAAAAATCAATGAATTGGCGAACCTGATTAAACCACATGCCGCTCCTGGGTAGTGACTCTCATCAGTGAAACTTCATACTTTTGTCCCTGAAGTGCTATGCCAGCGCACCAGTAAACAGGATGAACTGCTGCTGCTGACACTACGCAGGCCAGCTTTAGGAAGGCAACTGTCTAGATGCCATGATGAGAAGTCTGGAGGACATGTGGGCCAGGGGGTAAATGAAATAAATAAAAAGTATAATCGGATGTTTTCATCCAGCATTTTGTGGGGCAACATACAGCTTTGAAAATTAAACAAAACAGGCTCTGAAGCTGCTTCTGCAATCTAGGGGAGATAGCAAGAGAAGGGGTTACTTGTGACAGGTACTATCCAAAATGCAACTTCAACAAACACTGAATGCACACATATGCATGCATAGGTATCGCAGAGAAACAAATAGCCAACACAGCATAGCTGACTAAATAAAGATGTAACAGATAAATTAATCTTGTAGATGAAAAATCAGGAAAAGGCTGCACGGTCGTGGAAACAATACAAATGCAGGAGCAGGTGATACCCTTAATTGACCATTAAGAATATAAAACAAAACAAAAAACAAATGTCAGAAACAAATCATCTTCTTCAAGGCTGTGTATCAAGTTCTTGTGGACAGTTCCAAACGAATGTGCTGTTTTTTTAATGTTCCAGATTAATGTGGCTGATGGTGTAGAGGCCAGGCAAGCTTCTTAGACGGAAATGGCTGCAGCATGCATGTTGGTTTGAAGCTCTTCTTCAGCTAGCAATTTGGAATGTATGGCCCATCTCTTTAGAGATGAAAGTCACAGGCAATTTGCCCCGCTCTTTCTCCCTTTCTGCCCTTTTTAAACTCAAAGTGCTTCTCTTTAGCTGGGGGAGGGAAGACTGCCCAGTTAACATGGTCTGCCTCTAAGAAAGTTGGGATAAGACGATTTGACCTAAGAGGCTTTTGACATGGTTGGGCACGTGACAGGGTGCATAACTCTTAGCTGCACATGCACTGAGTGATCTTGGCTTGCCCCTCTCCAGAGAAACACAGTGGTGATTTAAACTCCTGGTTTTCTAGCCAGGCACTTCAATCCCCTGGGAGCTTCACCAGCCCTTTTGCCAAGCAATTACAGTAGCTGCTGTGCTTTGCTCAAGTTTGAAGATAAACCATTACAAACCTCTTTTTCTGCTCTCCTCCCTGCATTTTAAATCTCTTTGTTCCCCTTCTTTCTTTTCTTTCTGTCCTGGCTCTAACTCTGGCAGAAGCCTAACAATCACAATCCAGCTTCTCCAGACTGCCATAAGACACACAACCGCTTTGGACCCCACATCCCTCAATGTAGGATCAAACACACTCATAAAGCCAACTTGACCATGTTTTAAGTCCTCTGCATAGACTTTCTCAGTGTTCATTTAATTTCCTGTCTTGATGTCATTTCTTGTCTTAAATACTTCATATCCAAACTAAAGTATGAATACTCGTTGAGTATTTGAATTCATATATTTCACCAACGACTATGATTTTGTATCTATTTCAATTTTTTTTACACACCATAGATATGTTTGACCCCGGAAAGCTCCATGCTAATGCCAAAACAACTGCTGATGGGGGCAACAGTCCTGCCACAGTCAAGAATGACACTGCTAGCCAGGTACTTCATAAGCCCCTGCTTGAGGCTGTGACAAAATATTGTGGGTTAGCAAAAGAATAACTGAAATAAATGGAATGCTGTGCTGGGACCTTGTATCAGAGGTTCTGTACCTTCAAAAACCCACCCTTTTTGTGTAATTTGCTGGAGGAGAATTATGCAGTAGCAAAGCTTTGCTGCCCAACCTCAGAGTTTCATAAGCCTTGGAGCCATTTTATGAGCATGGCTGAATTCAGTGATTAACTGAAGTGGCTCATTTTTCATTCCAGCACTCTTTTGCATAGGGTCAGACAGGAATTTCACAACTGGAAATGCTAATTTTCAGAGGAAAGATAAGTGTGAACTCGAGGATTCTATAGTAGAGAAGAATATGGTTTTTTTAAAAAAAACTATTTATACGAAGACTCTATTGCCTAAGTTTTGCATACATATTTCAGTACTACAGTTTCAAATATAACTATTTTCAAAATATATATTTCGAATGTTATCAAGAACCTGGCCTTACATCAGACTTCTATACATTCAATATCAGAAGCAGGTTTCACTTAATTCCAAAGGAATTGCTCCCAGATAAGTTAATTTATGACTACAACCTAGTCTATTTCTTTTAGCAAGGACCATTTTATGTTTAAAAACTTCCCAAGAGCTTAAAAAAAAGAAAGAAAAAAGAGGGCAAGTGTACTGTACCACTGGAATGTAGGCATCAAAATTCTGTGCAGAAAAAAAAGTGCTACCTTTCACCATGAGGTTCCCAGTGCTGCTGGCTGTCCCAAAATAATTTGTTGCTGTGCATGTATAACTTCCAGCATCTGCTTTGGTGACATTGGCAATCTTCAGAGTTCCATCTTCAAAAATGGTGATTCTGAAAAGACAATGAACAAAGTTCTGAGATATTTTTTTTTAAAATGTAGTGTCACACACAATATTAATGGTTTACAATATGAACAGGATAAACTACCACCAGCAACAGTAGATGTGTATTGATCTCTTGGAAGCTGAGATGCAGTAATACTATGGGCATATATTGCATCAGTTATCTGTGTATTAACTTGAAGGCAGAGTGGCTGACAGATTAGGATGAGGGGTGCCTCACCCCAAAAATTCATGAGCCACCCATCTTTTGAAGGTCTTATCACTTTACCCAGGTAAGAAATTGGGAAAGCCTCATGGAAAAACCATAGCTTTGACTATGTGGACCTTTGTCGGCAAGATGATGTCTCAGCTTTTTAAGGTGTTGTCTAGGTTTATCATCACTTTTTTCCCAAGAAGCAGACTATTTTAATTTCGTGGCTGCTGTCACCATCGAGAAAGTGGGAAAGCCTCATGGAAAGGCTACTCTGACATGCTTTGTTCACTAGGATAGCCCCTTCAAAATGTTGTACATACATTTTCCGGAGCTTTTCACAACAAACAACCATAGTTGGAATCATCATAGATCACAAGCTGAATATGAGCCAGCAGTGTGATATGGTTACAAAAAAGGCAAATGCTACTTGAGGCTGCATTAATAGAAGTATAGTCTCAAAATCCTGTGAGGTAATAGTTCTCATCTATTCAGCACTGGTTAGACCTCATCTTGAGTATTGTGTCCAGTTTTTGATACCGTATTTCAAGAAGGATGCTGATAAGGGGGCTGGAGACCAAGCCTTATGAGCAAATACTAAAAGAACTAGGCAAGTTTAGCCAGGAGAAAAGAAGACTGGGGGTGGGGGGAGAGATATAACAGCATTTTTCAAATACTTGAAAGGCTGCCATACAGAGGAGGGGCAGGATCTCTTCTTGATATCCCAGAGGGCAGGACATGGAAAAATGGGCTCAAGTTGCGGGAAGCCAGATTCCAGTTGAATATCAGGAAAACGTTCGTAACAGTTAGAGCAGTATGACAATGGAATCAATTACTTTGAGTGGTGGTGAATGGTCCTACACTGGATACATTTAAGAGAAATTTAGACAACCACCTAGCAAATATCCTTTGATTTGTATTCCTGCATCGAACAGGGGCTTGGACTTGTTGGACCTAAAGGCCCCTTCCAACTTCATTATTCTATGACTCTATTATAATTTAGGAGGAATTGTTGTTTAGTTGTTAAGTCATGTCCGACTCTTCATGACCCCATGGACAAGAGCACATCAGGCCCTCCTGTCTTCCACTACCTCCCAGAGTTGGGTCAAATTTATATTGGTAACTTCAGTAACACTGTCCAACCATTTCGCCCTCTGACGACCCTTTTTCCTCTTGCCTTCATACTTTCCAAACATCAGGGTCTTTTCTAGGGAGTATTCTCTTCTTATCAGATGGCCAAAGTATTGCATAACTTTGACTATGTGGACCTTTGTCGGCAAGATGATGTCTCAGCTTTTAAAGGTGTTGTCTAGGTTTGTCATCACTTTTTCCCCAAGAAGCAGACTATTTTAATTTCATGGCTGCTGTCACCATCTGCAGTGATCATGGAGCCCAAGAAAGTAAAATCTGTCACTGCGTCCTTATCTTCTCCTTCTATTTCCCAGGAGGTGATGGGACCAGTGGCCATGATCTTAGTTTTTTTGATGCTAAGCTTCAGCCCATTTTTTGCACTCTCCTCTGTCATCCTCATTAAGAGGTTCTTGAATTTCTCCTGGGTGAGTTTGAGGAGGAATTAAAGAACCATGTAATGAGGGTGAAAGAGGAGAGCGCAAAAAACGGTCTGAAACTCAACATCAAAAAAACTAAGATCATGGCCACTGGTCCCATCTCCTCCTGGGAAATAGAAGGGGAAGATA